AAGAGCGGCCTCAGAAGAAACTAACTCTGCAGGTGTCTTCATCTTGGTGTTTTAACCTCCAGAATGTGAAGAAAAATAAAGCTTTGTTGTTTAAGCTACCCAGTCTGTAGTGTTTTGCTAACACAACTCTAGCACACCAACACACCTCGAGAAGACAGCTTACCCTCCAGCACTGAAACATTCCCAATTTGTTCAGTCTTTGATTACATATACCCTTAAATTATTGCCAATTAAACATATTAACCCAACTATATGAAGCCAGAAATTCAAAGTGCTGAAATAACTTATAAAAATTAATTTAATGAAATATACTACCAAGAGTTGGCAATGTGCAATAAAGAAAATTAAAATTTTTACTGCTTTCTTTATAATGTAACTTATAAATTAGAGAGATTTAAAAGAAAAATTTTAAGTAAGGAATAATTTTTAGTGTAACCATAATTAAAAGCTAAGCTCTAGGTTGCTTTTCAAGTCTTATATATAAAAACATCATCTATACAATAATACAAAAAAGTTGAAGGTCAGCCCCAGAGTGCAGTGGTTAAGTTCTATGACCAGAAAGCCAGATCCCACATGGCTGACTCAGGTTCACTCCCAGCCTCTGGTGGCTTGAAAAACAAGCCAGATGCATGTGTGAGCCCCAAATCCTGACAAGATGGAGAAATGGGAGAAAAAGGAGTGTGACTTAACCAGGCCCCACTGGGGGCTGCTTGCTTTCTCTCTCTCTAAAGAGTGTTCACGCCCTTTGACAATGAAGAAAAGAGAAAGGTAAGAAAGGTTGAGTTGTTAAACAGAGTCACAAGAATCCTAATCAATAGATCTGTGCAATACCAAACTTAGCTAACGATTCAGAAGATGTAATGCCCTGGGACACATTTGGTTCCAGGTGATGGAAGTGTAACACCGGCTCAGGTGAGGCTGCATGGGACCGGGTCTCCTAGTAGTTATACCAAATCTTGAGAGGATGAAGAGATTACTTGACTAACTTACATTCTCCAGCAAGCTGTCTACCACAATTTCATAAATTCAGTTTATTCATAATAATACATTAACATTTTAGATAAACTCAGACATTAGGGAGAACATTTTGGAGTTCTCTCTCCAGTAGTAAAGACTCTCCTCACTGTATACTTTTATAAGAAGTTGAGGAAAACACATCCACCCCCATGGGACTAGAGTCTTAGCCTGCTCTCAACTCCCTTCCACACCATTGCAGGGTACAGCAACCCTCCGGAACAGCTTCTGTCATTACACGAGGAGAGGGCTTCGCACAGAAAATGAATATTATGCTTGAAGACACAGCTTCATGGTTCCTGCAAACTAGCCATTTTGGGGAAACAGAAATGAAGAGGTTCCACTGATAATTCAGCCTCCAGCACACAAAACTCGCATGATTGAACTTCCAAGATTGGGAAGAAACCAACCATCAACCAGATGACTAGAAATCGTTGCAGGACCACAAGAAATATGGGAAAGCAGGAAAATACCTCTCCTTCAAGGGAAAAGGATAACTCCTCTTCATCCATACACAGTTCAGTGGAAATCATGGAAATGTCTGATAAAGAATTCAGAACATTCATAATGGCAAAGCTAACAGAGATGGAAGAGAAGAGGGACAATGAGCTGCTGAAGAGGAAGGAGAAAGAAGTGGTCGAGTTCCAGGAAAAGAGGAAATACATGCAAGATCTAAAAGAGGAATTTCATTCTTTACAAAATAATCAAATGGAACTGTTAGAGATGAAGGCTATAATACAAGAAGTCAAAATCTCCCTTGAAAGTATTAAAAGCAGACTATGTCATACAGAAAGTAGAATCTCAGACACAGAAGAGAAAATTGCTAGCCTAGAAAAATCCACCTCGAAGACTGAGAAAATGGCCCCAAAATTTGAGACTAATATAAGAGAAATGCTAGATACCATCAAACATCCAAACATCCAGATAATAGGCATCCCAGAAGGTGAAGAGACTCCTAAGGGCATTGATAATCTATTCCATGAGATCTTGTAAGAAAACTTTCCAAACCTAGAGAGGTACTCAAAGATTCAGTCCCAAGAAATACAGATGATCCCAAATAGAATCAACCCAAGAAGATCTTCTCCAAGACACATTATAGCCAGATTGACCAAAACCACAGACAA